AAGTCACAACTCACAAAGTATCAACTTAGTTCCATAATTCCAAATCAATTCATAGAATCATACAGAAAATAATCAAGTTCAAACTCCAATCATGTTTTCAAATCTCAAAACAAAGTAAATAACAAATAAAAATAAATTCAAAGTCTTCATCCAATTCTACAAAACAGTAGCCACCGATTTCAAATGTTTTTAAATTTCTTGGGTTTGCGATCGATTTGGATGATTTAGGCGGGTTATTTCGCTCAAAACGACTTTCATTTTGAGTGAAATAACCTATTTAAAAAACAAACAGCACACTGCCTAATTGACCAACTAGGTGGTCTAGTCGGCCGCCTAGAACACCAATTCCTGTGATATTCTAGGAGGTGGGCTGGCCGGCGCCTAACGCCTAGGCGCGATTTTTGCAACTATGGCTAGCGGCTAATGTGTAACTTTATATATTTCTAAAATTTAATAAGAGCCAATAATGATGTTAGCCTTTAATTTAATGAAAGTTGTGTTGGTAGTATAAGTTATATTAAGTGTTTGTTCTTTGTAATATTTGTGTTGTTCCTTTGCACTTATTTTCCAATTTCACCCTTCAAATTTTCTTTTGATCTTTATTTTAACATTAGTTCTTAAAATAATTTGCAACCATGGCTAGCGGCTAATGTGTAACTTTATATATTCCTAAAATTTAATAAGAACCAATAATGATGTTTGTCTTTGATGGAATGAAAATTGTGTTGGTAGTATAAGTTATATTAAGTGTTTATTCTTTGTAATATTTGTGTTGTTCCTTTGCACTTATTTTCCAATTTCACCCTTCAAATTTTCTTTTGATCTTTATTTTTACATTAGTTCTTAAAATAATTGGCATTGAAAGTTTTTACTTCGTTTGGTGTTCTTTTTGTTGTACATTTATATTTTCTTACCAAATTTACGCTCAATATACTTATCTTTTGTCAGTCCTACACTTCTACCATCACTATGTAAAATACAATCACATGCATACATGTGTATATAAGTAGTTTCTATAAATAAAATTTAATTTAATAATATTTTTTAATTAATGAGTAATATGTATCTAATTTTCGTATTATTTTCTTATTTGAAAGTATATCTTCTATTTTAATTTTTTTAAAAAAATTAAAATTTCACAATTTTTTTTTGTTTGTGTAAAAGAGTTTAGTTTTTCATTTGTTTCTTATTTGATGTGGTATATATGATCATTGGCTTATTGTCAACAAAACATTTCTATTTTATTTATTATGGTATTGATATTAAATTCTAATTATAATAGAAAAAATTATAAGAAAAACTAATCTTTATCTTTATTTTTACTATTACTCTAAAAAAGCAACAAGAATATTGGAGAGAAAAATAGCCAATATTTATGAGTTTAATGGATTTTAGCAGTCGTTATATCGTGGACCGTGGTGCATAATCGATTATGCACCGCGCATTAAAACGGCGCCGTTTCTTTATGTAAAGAAACGGCGCGCTATTAGTGTTAACGGAGTGACACTACAGTGTATCTAAACTGACACTGCCTCACGTATTATTTTTATATTATCAAATGAAACTGCAGTTATATCAAAATGATATTGTAGTTATGATGAAATGAAACTACAGTATATATAAAATGAAACTGAATAACATTTCACATATTTGAGTGTATATTGTACAATGAAGCTGTAATTATATCGAAATGATCATGTAGTTGTGTTTTAATGAAACTATAGTGTATATAAAATAAAATTAAATAACATTTTCACATATTTGAGTGTATAAATATTGAATGAAATTGTAGTTATATCGAAATGAAACTGTAGTTGTGTTGAAGTGCAACTGCAGTGTATACAAAATGAAACTGAAGAACAAAGTTATTTTTTGCGGAACGGTGCGGAACAGCGCGAAACAGATTCCGTTTCTTTTCATTAAATAAAACGACGTCGTTTTGATGCGAGGTGCAAAATCGATTATGCACCGCGGTGCACGATATAATTTGCCGGATTTTAGGTATTGGGCTGCAGCAATGACTTAGATTTGGGCCAGAAATAAAAAAAAAAATGTAACAATGTATTGGCCCATCATTTGTTATATTAAAAATTCTTTTTTTATTATATTATAAAGAATGTTAATTGATTTTTTTTTGTAATGCCCAAAAATAAGTGTGTGTGTGTGTGTATATATATATATATATATATATATATATATATATATATATATATCAAAAGATTGTTGGGTTTATACAACATATAAGATACAAGCTAAAAAATACGTACAAAGTTATATATTATTAAATGCTGAAATTAGATGAAATCTTTAAAAGATAATATTACATGTATAAAGAGATCTCTATTTGTATTTAAAGTTAATTATAATTGAACCACACCTCAACTATAATTGGACTCCACATATGTAAAAAAAAAAAAGAAATCTCTATATAAAATCAACATATAATTCTTAGGAAAAATTGTAAAAAATGCTCATCTATAATTGACCAATTATTAATGTCGCCCCTGAATTATGAATGATGTAAATGTTGCCCCTTAATTATCAAAATGGTGTACATATAGCCCCTCCCGTAACGGACCTGTGAATCCACGTTAGTCTACACCGTTTAGTTGGGGTAATTAAGTAATTTACTTTTTTTTTCCTTTTTCTTTTTATGTTTTCCATTTCCCCTCCTCATCTGAGACCATCGTCATTCCCTTTGACGCCTCTTCGCCGTTCCGTACCAAAAGCATCAGAAACCGCCGCGTTGATTTCATTCGCTCCCCACGATTCTGATTTCCTGCCGGAGGCGAACCGCTTCATTTCTCCCAAACCAGGCAGCTCAGCTAGCGGTTCAATACTCACTGGTACTTGACAACTTTTTTTTTCCTTCACGCTCTTCCTTGACGGCGTTTGCTGCTCTGTCTTTGACTCCGCCGGTTTCTTTCCCCGGTTGGATAAGAACACGGAAACTAGCCGCGAGTAGAACCCGGTTTTCCCCTTCTCTCCGACGCTTCTAGATTTTTCTAATTTTTTCAGAGATGATTTCGGGCGACCGCGCTTTGATCGTACTCTTCCTATGCACGAAACCTTGGGGACGACGGTTCCCCTACCGGTTTCCCCATAGACTCCGCACGCCGCGGCGGGAAAAGACGGATATTCGTCGGTTTGCTGCAACTCCTCCGCGTCGAGTCGGCCTAAGCTAGTTGTTCTTCTGAGTCTTGGGAAGCCCGATTATTGAAGGGGAAATGGAAAATATAAAAAGAAAAAGGAAAAAAAAAGTAAATTACTTAATTACCCCAACTAAACGGTGTAGACTAACGTGGACTCACAGGTCTGTTACGGGAGGGGCTATATGTGCAACATTTTAATAATTGAGGGGCAACATTTACACCATTCATAATTCAGGAGCAACATTGATAATTGGTCAATTATAGAGGGGCATTTTTTACAATTTTTCCTAGTTCTTACATAGATAAACTTTTTTAAATGAATAAGTTTTACATTTTATAGTTAAATTTCAAAAAAAAATTAAAAATTACATTGTATAGTTATATTTATATTTTAATAAAATTATATCTACGTACTTAATTAGTATCAACAACATTAAAATAATACTTCTAAAATTGCGTCCGTGCATCGCATCGGAAAAATACTAGTTGATTTCCCTAAAGCTAAATCTTTATTTATTTATTTTTTTGTTGAAACACAATACCTACTATCAGGACCGGATTTTAGGCTGTGCAAGCTGGGCTACCGCACAGGGCCCCCAATTTTAGAGGGGCCCCAAATTTTAGAGGTCCAATATTTAATATTTACCTAGCTTGTTTAGAATAAAAATTAAAAGTTTACAATTAATTTAAAAAGGTTCTATGAAGAGATGGTAAAAATATGTATATATTGTATTTTAACTTGGAGGTCAAAGGTTCGAAACTCCCATATGTTACTTTTAAAAATTCAGATTTTGGAGGGCCTCAATTATTTACCAGAACAGGGCCACACAAACCTAAAATCCGGCCCTGCCTACTATATTCCAATGCATTTAAAAAATTTATGCTAGAGAATAATATTTCTTATCATCAAAATAAAAATTCTATCTTCTAATATTTATAAGTTAAGATTTATGTGTTTATATAATTATATAATTATTTTAATCATTTAATTTAACTAGCTTTTAAGTATTCAATTCATTGGACAATATATATTCAGTTGCACATGATGTACACTAGTTATATATGCAGCCATGAATGGTAGTTGAAGAGGAATACGTTTGTCCAGAGGCAAGGGATCGGAGTTGATGGAATATGGAAGTTGGGGATATGGAAGGAGTCAACAGAAAAAAGGGCGATTTAATACTCCAAGCTAAGGCAGCTGCAAGGGAATGGTGTAGTCCACAACAGCAGAAAGAAATAGCAGTACAACTATTTTATTATTTCATAAACTAGGATTCAAATCCAGAGGAATATCCTCTGATGATTCTTTAGATTATGTTGTGGATTGTGTTGATGAATTATATATATTGTGAATATTATTGTTGGATTGAATGATTATTTGTGGATGATTGAATATATTTTGATTATGTTGAATATAGTTGAAATTTATGGTAGGAGGGAGAAAAAAATTATTATTATTTTTAAAATAAGGTCACTAGGCATATGTTTCTGGGTAGAAATAGACGCCAGTTCACATTAGGGATTTGTCAACAACAGACGCGTAAAGTCAAGACTATTTTAGAATCTGGTCCATAGCATCTGTTGTACAACAGATTTCTATTGCTTCCTACAACATATGCAAATATTTTGTACTAGTGTAAAATAGTGTTGCTTACTTATCAATTGAAATTATACTCCATAATAAATTTTGAACATAAATGTTAGGTGGAGGTTTTGGATTGACAAGTCCAACATCTTGTTATTGAAATGTGTCACTGATTGCTAAACAAGTATAAGAAAATAAAATTGTAACTTTGCTATTAACTATAATTTTTTATAGTGATATATAAAACTGCATGTTATGCAAATATGGTTGACAGGTGCTGCTAGGAAGAGCTTGGAGGGTCGAGGTCTAGCACCCTGCCATTGAAATATGTAGTTACTGCTATACAAGCAAGTATAAAAAAATAAAGTTACATTTTCACGACTAGTTATAACTTTTGACGTAGTGGCAACCGGCAAGTATTTGATTTTAATAATAATAAAAAATTATTTATACAACTTTTTAAAAGTAAATTAATTAAATTATTTATTAAACTTTTGTTTGACAAAAGTGATATTTACCAAATTGAATAATTAATACCAACACATTGTATTAACATATCAAATAAAACCTCAATTGCCTTTTTTTTTTTTTTTTTTTTAATAATTTGTGTCAATCGAATTGATCATGTCTACCATAGTCCATATTGGCGTTTTTATGGAATTAAAGTCTTCCAGTCTTTTCTTTAATTCATTTTTGCCTCTATAAAGGAAACATTTACTATTTTGAGTGTATTTACTGATTAGTGATACTTAATGAAATTTAAGTTAATTAATTCTCGTCAATTTCAGGAGTTATTCAGAAGCTTAGAATTAATTTGATTACATCATCCACAAGTGTAATTTTACATTAAAGAATGTGTTTCAATATGGTTTTAAGAATCATATTATATATATATATATATATATATATATATATATATATATATATATATATATATATATATATATATATATATATATATATATATATATATATTAATGCAATGTCGAATAATATTTTTCTGAAAATCAATGTTGAATAATATTAATTACAAATTCATTATATATATGTAGCTTGTTCGAAAAAATGTTTTAGGGTTTCATGTAAAACGATAAGGATTTCAAAAATAATTAATTTGTCAAAATTAGAATAATTATATAATCATGAGCGTTATAAACTCAAGTATATTGAATATTTTAAATAATATTCTTAATACGACTATATAAGTTGGATCGTTATGTTGTGCATCCGTATGCACCATGCATGGTGCATACGGATGCAAAAACGACGTCGTTTTATTAAAAACGCGCATCTCACTTAAAAAAAATTAGTTTCGATTCATAGATTCTGGAATTTTAGATCATAGATTCTGAAATTTTAGTTCATAGATTCTGGATATTTAGACGTGAATCGAAACTGATTTTTTTTTTTCATTCATGCTGGATATTTAGTTCATTCATTATGGATATTTAGTTCATTCATTATGAATTTTTAGTTCATTCATTCTGGAATTTTAGTTCATAGATTCTGGAATTTTAGTTAATCGATTCTGGAATTTTAGTTAATCGATTCTGGAATTTTAGTTCAAATTATGCACAATATAATGTTGTTGCTGGGAATCGAAACTGAATTTATTTTTTTTAAGTAAGACGCGCGTTTTTAATAAAACGACGTCGTTTTTGCATCCGTACTCTCGAAGCTTTTGATTAATTTGATCTTGTTAATTATGTTAAAATTAAATTAATCAAAAATTCAAAATTATACTAATATAAAACTTAATTTGAGACCAATAATGAATGAATGTTGGAACGTCAAAATTAAGTTTGAACTTAATGAGAAATACTAATTGAATTTAGGATTGTAGCACTGGACGTCCAAAATAAGTTAGCACTGTGAAATCCTAATTATTTTAGCACTATTTAAGTGCTATTTAAGGCACTAATAATAGTGCTTAATGGCACTAACGGTCAAATGTGCTTTGTTAAATACCTATGGTGTTTGCACAATCGTTATACACTACACCACGGCGCACGTAGCACTGTGCGCCGCGCGCCTCCCAAACCGACGTCGTTTTGGGAGGCGCGGTATGAAGTTGCTGTGATTATGTGTATTTGTTCACACAATTATGTGTATTTGTTCACACAATTATGTGTATTTGTTTATACAGTTATGTACATTTTTTATACAATTATGTACATTCTTTTTATATAATTATGTACATCCAAATCAGAAAATTTGTGTGTATTATGTTAAGAGTTGATGTGTATTATGTTAAGAGTTTATGTTTATTATGTATTATGTTAGATTATGTGTATTATCTTTTAAAAAGAGTATGTATATTTTGTTATATAATTATGTACATTCATGTATACAATTATGTGTATTCTAGTATAACATTATGTACATTTTTGAACAACGGATTTTTTTAAAGAAAAAATTACTGCCATCCACTGGGGCGGGAAATTTCAAAAAAAAAAAAAAATTTTAAAACAACGTCGTTTTGCATCTGGACGCACAGTGCAACGCGCGCCGTGGTGTAGGATATAAATTGCCGTGTTTGCACTAACGCGTCATGCTTGTTAATCACCTATGGTAAGTTTACCGTACCGAATTGAAGGGTGCGAATTACACCATCTGGTAGTTGACAATTTCGAATGGATTCGCAAGTGCAAAATCAAAACTTATAGGCACAAGTGTCAAATAGACCGATCTACTATTGCGAAGTTCTCAATTCTCACCACGAACTAAATTAAGTGTCAAATAGACCCATCTACCAGCTAAATTTGTTCGATTGACATTTTTTACAGGTTGCTAGCAGGTTACCTATCTAATTATTAAAAATAAATAAATAAATAGAATAAAATATTAAAAAAGAATATCAGCCACCCACGGTGGCTTCCCTTTCGCAGACAGCCGGACAGTCGGTGGCTGATATTTTTTTTTTTAATTTTTTTTTTAATTTTTATTCTATTTATTTATTTATTTTTAATAATTAAATAGACAACCTGCTAGTAACCTGTAAAAAATGCCAATTGAACAAATTTAGCTGGTAGATGAGCCTATTTGATACTTAATTTAGTTCGTGGTGAGAATTGAGCACTTCGCAGTAGTAGATGGGTCTATTTGACACTTGTGCCAAACTTATACTCTAGCTAGGGAAATTTATAGGGGTAGTATTTCGTTTATATCTATATACAATACATACAATATACATACAATTATAATAAGAGCCAATAATGTTAGACCCTTAACTGGAATTAAAAAAATGTATTTAAAAATAAAATATAAAATTTAACATAAACTTTGGTCAAATAATTAGTCTGACTAAATAGATAGCATTCAATGATTATAAATCAGGAACTTTGATAATCATTTGATTTTCTTTCATTAAAAAATAATAAATTTAAGTTCAGTTTTTTTTTTTTTTTTTTTTCGTTTGATTAATCTTCTTTTGATTATTGAGAACAAAACTTAATATTTCAATTATGCTTTTATCAATGTATGAAAACTTCTAAAGAAATTTGTAAGTTAATTTTTACTATATTATTATAACAATATCTATTGTAACCTTATATTTTGAATTATTTATTATCATCATCTATTGATAGCAATTGTCATTGACAAACTCTCAAAACAATTTGTGTTACCAACGAATGAAAATTTAAAAAAAAAAAATCAATGATTTCATTATTGTGAATGAAAAGTATGTACACCACTTTATTCAATCGTTATGCCGTGGAACTGTATCCACCTTGCACTAGTACAAAAAATATCAATAAAATCGTATTATTGGCGTCCAAAAGTAGAACTTTGGACTCCTAAAGTGTAATGCGGTGGCATTTTTGTAATTAAGAAAAGTCTATGTATTAGACTCTCGTGCATGTAAGCGCGAGTTGGAGATTAAGCCCACATTAAATGTGTAAGTATATATATTAAATGTGTAAGTATATATATATATTGAGAATTATTATCCATTATAGTTTATAAATTCTTTATGAATGTATATTATAGGGTATTTCGATCGGTTGTAAATTTAGGAGGGAGAAGACCTAAAAACAACGTTGCTTGGGATGAAATTGAGGTATATATCAAAAAAAAAAATATTAATATTTTTTACAATTTTATTAGTAATGTTTTTATTGTTTAACTTAATAATATATATACATAAAAACTCATTTTGTAGTCTCCTCAACAACCGGGTGGTGTGGAGTGCGGATATTATGTGATGAGATACATGTATGAAATATGCACTCTATATTCTGATTTTGAACATTTAGACACGGTATGTAAAATTTATTAAAACTAAATAGTTTTAAATTATACTTTATTAATTGTGAAACTAACTAATTATTTTAAATTTTTGTAGGCATTTGATGCAAAGCCTTACTCACAAGAGCAAATTGATGAGATTTGTGAGGTTTGGTCTAAATATTTTATTGAAGAATGCATATAACTTTGAAATGTTAAGAACTTTCATTTGAATTGTTGAGAACTTAGAAGTGTTGTGAATTTATGCATTGAAGTGTTGGTAATGAAGTTTAGTTTACTTTTTGTTGAGAACTTTGAAGTGTTGTGAATTTTGGCATTAAAGTGCTAAAGTGTTAGTAATGAAGTTTAGTTTACTTTGTGTTTAAACCTTTTAAGTGTTGATGTATGTTGTGAATTGAATATATTGAAGTTTAGTTTACATATATATATGTTGTGAATGTATTTAGTTTGCTTAGTGCTAAAGTGTTGATAATAGTATATGTGTATTGGGGTTGTGGCTGTGGTTGTGGCTGCATGTACAGGTTGTGAATGATAGTTTTGTACAGGAAAAAACTGAAAATTTTATCAAATAAATATAAAATAAAAAAAAATATATATATATAATAGGAGTCCAAAGTTCGTTGACTTTGGACGCCTATTATATTTAAAAAAAAAAATACTTTAGGCGTCTAAAGTCTCGTAAACTTTGGACGCCTAAAGGTAATTTTTTTTTAAAAAAAATACAATAGGCGTCCAAAGTCAACGAACTTTGGACTCCTATTGTAGTTTTAGGCGTCCAAGTAACTTTGGACGCTGATTGTCTATGACAATCAGCGTCCCCTGCATAGGCGTCCAAGCAACTTTGGACTCTTATTGTCCATTTGCTTGGACGCCTATGACCTTTTCTGTAGTAGTGTTGCAATGTGGACACAGTTCTATGTTCATAATTACTGAACTATATGTTCATAATTATAAAGCTATATATTCATAATTTTTTAACTTCATATTCATAATTATTGAATTCTATATTCACAATTACAGAACTCCATGTTCATAATAATTGAACTATATGTTCATAATTATAAAGCTATATATTCATAATTTTTTAACTTCATATTCACAATTATTGAATCTCTATATTCATAATTACAGAACTATATGTTCATAATTATGTTCACAACTTTATGTTCATAATTTTTGAACTATATATTCATAATTATGAACAATTTTGGAATTGTGTCCACCTTTGTCCACCTTGCACGGTTCCACATCATAATTTTCCCACTTTATTGCTCTTATTACTTAAATTAAAAAATAAATTGGCAGCTACAACAAAAAATAATATATATACATTTAATTAATTTAGAATTAGATGTCTCACAACACATGAAACATGTAGGGAAAACTACCACTACCAAATATCAACATGTGCTTGTCAACTAAGATCTCAGTCATATAAACAACAAGACAAATCTAAAACTTCATACACCATAATTTCATTGCATGATGAATCCCTCTATGATACTACCAATAAACCAATTGCACATGACACACTACCAATAACAAAAAAAAAAAAAAAAAGAAGAAGAAGAAGAAGAAGACATATACTGAAAATGAAAACAATAACAATGCTACCTAAAAGAGAATTAGAAACATTTAAACCAAAAATAGTATTTATTTAGACTATCGCTTTTAGACATAGTACTTAGATTAACGTTATTACAAAGTTGCAAACATTTATTTTTGTGACAGTTATATATAATCAATCTCTCATATATTATCTTGCATTTATATACTTTAAATTACCGATTTAAATAAACAAATTCAACATTTATTTACCTATGCATGAATATCTTCTATATAATATTACATTGATATACTTTGAAATATTTATTTAAAAGTAAGTATTGGGCATTATCCTGTTCGCGCAAAGCGAGTAGATAGTAGTTTTATAAACTCCAAATGTTTGTACAAGTGTATCAGAAAATGACAAAGCAACCTCTTATCAAAATGATGGGCGGTCAACATGAAAATTTAATTGGGGTTGAAAAGCCACACAAAATGAACCAAGCTATCAAGATTCAACCTAATTACTCCGTAGTTTGTAAGGTAGAACAATAAGAATCAAGCAGCCCTCTCTGCAATAAATTTTTTAGTAGCTTCTTCATTTTCTTCATATTGCTGCACAGAATATAATTAGTACCAATAGTCATTAAATAGAAATGGTCAATCTAACTCAGATCACATACATACATAATTAGATATATAGGAAAGAGAGAAAATATGAGACATGAATTTTTTCAGAGGCAAAAAGTCACAATATTGATCTTCAAGTAGGAATACTGTGATTCCCTTCCTGCCCCCAAAAACATTTTATTATCTCATTGTTCTTTCTTTGAGAAGTGAATATTTTATTTAATAGGGTAGCACACATTCATGATGGTATGACAGAACACCAAAAAGAAATCACAAAATACCCTTTAAATGATGAATAGGGAATGATCTGTTGGAAAATTGGTCAGAATATGTCGTAGATCTAGGTTACTGTTTATATAGGCTGAGTGTAGAAGAAATCCTGAATCAATCGGTGACGTGCGCAAGACACTACCTTAAAAGCAAATATTGCCCGGAGACGGTAACAGTCTTACCGGTTGCTTTCGACCAGTTAACACCGAAGCTCAAGATTGCAGAAGAGAAGAAGAGAAGAATGTATTGAACGTTTAGAGCTCAGGAGGAGCAGGGTATTTATAGCTATAGAATTACCTGCTCCTCCTCTCTTAGCCATTCAATTTCCACTAAAATAGGGGAGTGGTGGAGAGGACCACATTTGTAAGAGTTAAACCTCACTCCACAATTTATTGTGGATGGAAATAATCCACACTTATTTGAGTGTTATTCCCAACATCCCCCACACACTCAACAAGTGTGAATGAAGTCGATGTCTAAGCGGAAGTGAGTGCTGACCTTAATGCCAGTGGTTTAAACCTTGAACTGACACGTAGTGACTTGAGTAACTTTCTCCTTAGTAGTGAATTGAATCTTGAACTAGCAAAGGAGAGGTAGTTTTGAACTCATGTGCACACATCAACACCCATTATGCAGGTTCTTCGGAAGTCAAATTCTTTGACTTGTGGTCTACCTATGTGTAGACCCTAGCTTAGAACATCTCATGTTCAGTTGCTTTATGAGTATGTAAGCTTGACCTACTTTGTTGATTTTAAGCTCATTTCTTTCGATGTATCGAGGACGACCTTTCTATTTAGTCCTTTAGCGAGAGGACCTGCTATTCTTCTCGGGCTCCATATACTCTAATGTGAGTGCTCCAGTCGTAATCAACTGTCTTACAGACTCATGTATGACCGTTATGTGCCTTCTTTGTGAGTTACAGTGTATGGGCATAGCCGGTGTAGCACACCCCCACCATGGCACGTCTGCCAGTAGGTCTCTCAGCCACTCGGCTTTTTGCCCAACTAGATCAAGAGGTATAAATTCATTCTCCATTGTTGATCTAGCTTATACAAGTCTGTTATGTCTATCTTAATATAGACTTCCACCATGTCTAAGTCTATTTCGCCATAGACTTTTAACTCTGACAAGTCTAATCGCATTATAGTTTTTTTATGTCTTGTCAAGTCCATCTCAATATAGACTTTTAACTCTATCAAGTCTATCTCAGTATAGACCACCTTTAAAGGCTTATAGAGTAGTTAAGTACATAAATCAGTTGTAAGTCTTTTCTTTCTATCATAGGCATTGTTCTTTGCAATGCAAATGATAGTTTGTGAATCACAATGTATATGTAGTGAAGGTGTTAGCTAGACACCCCCAAAACTCCACGTTTATCAACATATTTCTTAGCCACTCAGCTTCTTGGGATAACCCATTATCTTTCATAAGAGGCGGTTAGCCCTCTTCTACTCAAGTTAGGGATCTCTTTAGGTTTACCTCAACATAGACCATCCCAATTGAGTATAAGTCATCAAGAGCACTTTGTACTCATGTCATTATGCGATGAATTCATTAGGTTTGTCTCAACAAAATCACCCTTTCTCAAAGAGTTATGAATTCATTAAGAGCTGTAGCTCAACCTCACAAGTACACACATTGTCGGAATGACCAACTAGTGTACTATTTTGTAACTCTTTTCATGGCTTCGTTTGACCACAGAAGTGGGTTCCACTACGAATTCATTACCACTTGGACTTTTAAGTCCTTCCAATGAGTCAGCGACTAATCCTCATAATTAGCCCTCAAGTAAGTTGATTCTCTTGACCAAACTTACATGCACTTTGACGAGTACTTTGTTTACTCGTAAATAATCCCTTGATATTTTCATGTTTAACATGAAACATTCTCTTTCATCATTATTCTCAATACCACAGAGAAACTTTTGATGAGAATATAAGGAGTTTATTACCCCCACAATGAAACACTTACAAATATTTGTTGTCAAATGTATTTGATCTCTTACCCAGACTGATCTTTGGTGCCCAACATTAGCTCCTTTGTAGACTGAGGTTTGCCGATTTGCTTTGTGGAGCATTATAGAAGCTTCGAACTCTGCCTAATACATGCTCAACAGTTGAATATATTTCAACAAACTTGGTTATCTCAATTGATCACAATTACCCTTTAATTAGGAATTATAGGTATTTCAATATGACTCAACCAAGAGTTTAAATAATATATATATATATATATATATATATATATATATATATATATATATATATATATATATATATATATATATATATATATATATATATATATATATATACAAACGCTCATTGTTAGTAAGCCATAGAAATAATGTTGTCCACATGCTACATCAAGTTGAACAACATAATCACAAATTTCACATCATATTCTTATAAGAAATTAATGTTATACACAAGGAATATGTTCAAGCTCATATTTATTCAGAAATATCTCTCAACAATGAGACTTCAGAGTTGCCACTTGCACAATTTTCCATTCCCTTGAGAAAATTAAAACTCATATAAAGCATTCATAGGATGCAAATCAATATTACTATTGCAGTACTTCAACAATTTCTATTGCAAGGCTTTGATTAACAACATATGAGAGTCACCTCATTTCAGGTGAAGATCAAGTGGCGCTCTAACTAGCCTACATGATCAACACCCTACTTCTTAAAACTCACAGGTCGAGTGGTGAAACCGAAGTTTTCTTAAAAACCATCTTCCTAGACAGAGTATTCAGGAATAATGACTTTTCCATGCTACCACCATAAATGTGAGTAAAGCCTTTGAAATTAAACTCAGTACACAATTTAAATATTTAAGATTATGTGACTATAATATAGTATGTATCTCATCAAATAGTGCAATGTTTGTAACATATCCACAATAATAACACATAAT